GATTCAGTACACTGAAGTACATCTCCCTACTTTCTACCCAGTATTCAAATTTGCGAGCTACTCCAAAGTGCTCTTTCGGCCAGAAACTTATCTTGCAATTTTCCCTCAACTAAAAACAATACGATGAAATGCGATACGTGATCGGATATCGACTCTGACCAGGAATTCTCTCAAATACAAGAGTAGCAGAAAACCAAACCTCTCTCCGAAAGACACTGATGCCCTCATTCGTTTGCTGGTGCATGATCTCCAGTATCGTAGCGGTTAGACGCAACTCATTGTAACCTAACCTATCCTGTCTTACTATCTCGATATAAGTGGTATTCATTATCCAAGACATTGACAAAGCTTTAGCTTTAAAGGAGCTTCGAATATGAAAATTATAGGCCCTAAACTGGAGGGGTAATCCGAACAAAGAACAGATTTCGATAATTTTATGTGACTTGTGTAGCTGTTTGCTGATGTGAGAATCTTTGTGAACTGTTTGCAGGAGCAAAAAAGTCTACCATTTTTGACAGTTCGATTACTTTTAAACACTTATCACTACTGATTGAATTTTACTGTTTCAAACAGTACACAGCCAAGCCTCTTCACAAAAGCGGGGTTGCTCAGTCGGTAGAGCACTGGACTCGGAAATGAAAGGTCCCGGTTCAGATTCACTTGTCTTTCTTACTTCCGAAGTTGACAGATGAGTACTACTCTGTGGAAAGGAAACTGTCTGTACATTACATTTATCACCTAGCTGCAAACTCTGCCCTTTAAACAAATAACTCCGAACCTAAACCTATGGTACGAAAATGGAGCTCAGCGCCCCCCCCCCATCGTGAACATAATGAAAACAAGGGCATCAGTCGTGAAAATAAAAGGAAAATCAGATCGAGATTCCAGTGGTTGCAAACCTTCGTTTCTTCTCTCTTCCTTTCACACAGGCGAAAAGTTCATTTCTCTTTCTCTGAGATATGAATTATTAAACAGCGCTACCTGAATGAATGGGACGATCGAAGATTTACGTAAAGTCATGTACCAACAAATTTGTATCGATTAAGATCTTGCACTAGCTCGAACGAGAAAACATCTGGACTAACGATGCATGCAATGGGTGACCATTATCGTTTAAGATCTATTCGTTGAGTTGTAAGGTATATTTGACCAACGAACTAAATAAACGTTTACGAGTGTTTCAAGGTGCATCGCTCTGGCCTAGCAGCACACAAAGCTGCATCACATGCACCAGCTTATAGTTAGCTTCGCTCAAGATTTGTCGATTAAGATTATTTGTCCTACATAAGTGACCAAAGACAAAAAGCATGCGTCGACAAACTGCTGCTTACCAGTGCTGAAGTATACTACCAGAACTATTATTATTGCCAGTAGTGTTGAAAGATCAGGTTTACCGTACGATGTACATAATTAGATCCTTAGTTCACCATCTAGCATGAGATGAACTGACCATTTCAAGTTAAAAACAAACATGATGCACAGGTATTTAACCTCGGTCGTTTATGTCAAAATTTCGCTTCTGAACATGCCAATATTTTTGCCTACCTGGTATTCGACTGACTTACAGTAGATCAAAATCAGACCGAAAACAGAATTCAGATCTTCGACTAATGAATTGTGCCTCGATATGTTTCGACGAGCTACATCGTCCTAACTAGTGTTGCGATGGTTAGCTGTTCGGTATATTTTACATCAGTAACCGGGTAGTCGGTGATGCACGCGTTAGTATACACAATAAATAGTATTCGAGAGTTAGAATGAGGACAGAACTTTGAATATGCTTACACTTATAAGAGATTCGTCATGGCGTCGTAAAGAAACAGTTTTTCTCTCAAAGCAGATCTGCCTGAATCTCACTGTTCTTCCATTACATTCTGATTTCATATGATTATCTGAACTGGAATATCACCGCCCTCCCCCCTGCCCAGAGAAATAAAGATGCCGATGTACAATTGCAAGAAACCTCACTACACGAGATTTTCTAAATAGCACGAAGGATGCTGCTCTTTTTTTCCTCCATGAAGTCAAACATCGACTAGCTCTTCGATTCAAACGATAGATGTAACGATGGAAATGTTACAGGAATCAAAAGTAAGTACACGACTACCCCAATGCTTTAGTCTGGGTTTGCAGTCAATGTATTTCTTTGAAGGAGAGCACAGAAGTTTCTTGAAAAAAATGACCTCAGATATCAGTTCAACACTGACCAATCGTTGGGGGGAGGGGAAGGGGCTCATAATAGGCGCTTACAACTACCGCAACAGTACAGGAATAAACACCCGCTTTACGTATTGAACCACACAGTGTTACACTGTCGCTGTGGATAATTCTCCGCGAGGACGACTCAATACATTTTGGGGGACAAGTGTTTTACACGGTATTAAGGAAAGGAAGGTTTTTAACCGTTGTGATGTGGGACTGTCTAGCAGTTTATCGATTGCAGACCATTTGTCGCGCCCTTCAGTTCATGCCATTTATGCTGCGGTGATGATCTCCGTTTCTATGCCATGATTTGCAGAACTATTATCTCCATTCTGAACTGTCATTTCAGAGGTAAAATCTACAGCAATATGGCAAGTGTAGCTCTGAGTCTCTTGTTTTCATCCCACATAATAACACTCATTTACCAACCTCGGAAGGAAGAAAAACGAATGATCCGACCGAGGTTAGAACCCGCGACCTCCCATCTGCGTGTTCGACGCTCTACAGACAGAGCAACTCCAGTCTATGGTGTTAATAGCTACTTTATAATATTTTCATTAAAAAAACCTACCGGGTGTGAAGAAAATGTAATGACGCCAAAAATAAAAGCTCTTCCACATCGAGAGTTTTTAAAGGACTTAATCCCAAAGGATGTGTTATACAAAATCTGTCCAACTTTTCGGATTACTGCACCATCGCGGAATATGGTGCATAACTTTAAAAAATTATCGATGAAAAATAAAATATGTTAATAATTAATAAGAAGACTTCGGGACCCAAAGACGGTACTGTTTATCAGTGTGAGAAGAGTAGTAAGCATATTTAATACGATAAAAAATATTCATTTATAT